AATTTTGTTCTGAGAATAAGCAATAATTAGAAAGAAGCAGTTGAGGAAAAAGGAGCTAGATAGGAGTTAGCTGGGCAAATCCCTTTGTGATCTAGAGCACAGGTCATGTAGTGGGGCAGGGAGGTGGACTGGACCTGTGACTTCATGATTCCTTTCACAGATATAGGTAAGCAAATCCTCCATAACTGGGAGTCTTAAAGAATTTTCTAGAGACCTGAAAACATAAGTGACTTACTCCACAGACACAAACAGAAAGTGACTAAATTTCTGAGGCAGAACTTTGTCCCAGGGCTTTCTGACTCCAAGGTCAGACTTCCATTCACTATGCTTCACATTGCCTCTCTTCTGTGAGGATGGGTGTTGAGAATGGCTGGGTTATTGAAAAACTAAAACCTGACATTCATATAGGAATTAAAGTTCCAGAATTTTTGAGTGTTATCCTCACAATAACCTTATAAAGCAGCTACCAAAGGAATTACTATCCCTATTTTTTACTAGGAAACTAAAGCTCAGATAGAGTAAATGACTTGCACATGGCTATATGATTAATATATGTAGGATTAAATATATTATAATATAAATGAATTAAAAATAGAATTAAAGTCCCAGTTTCCCCTGATTCCAAATCCAGCATTCTTTTTTTTTTTTTTGGTGAGGCAATTGGGGTTAAGTGACTTGCCCAGGGTCACACAGCTAGTAAGTCTCAAGTGTCTGAGGCCTGATTTGAGCTCAGGTACTCCTGTCTCCAGGCCCAAATTCAGCATTCTTAACAATCAATCAGCAAGCATTAAGTTCCTGTACTTACCTTTAAACTGGTACAACTGTTAATCACTGAACAATACCTTCCAATTTTCTTAATGAATGGCATAAACTAATAATAATAATTATTACTATTAACATATTACATATTATATCATTATAAAAATTAATTTGTGTAATATTAATATATAAACATAATAATTATTATTATTATCATTCACTTTATGTAGTGCTCTAATGTTTCCCAAGCACTTTTCCCATAACAACTATAAGATGTAGGTATTAGTATCTTTATATTATACCTGAGGAAACTGAGACTGAGAGATTAAGTGATTTGGCCATAGTTACATCATTAGAAGTATCAGAGTTGAGATTCAAACCATCATCTCTTGAGTCTAAATGTAACCTGCTTTCCATTAACCCATGTTGTATTCAGTCTGTCTGAATATTTCTGTGGTTCCAACAAGTACATCAATCCCCTTTGGAGTTTGATTACCAATACCTCTATTATGCTGCGGTCAATGAAACTGAAAAAATGGACAAAAGCATGCATTATTTTTACCAAAAGAGAAAGGCATGAAGTAGTCATTCTTCTGAAAGTTTCTGGACTTGTCCAAGAAGTTCTCTGGGTCAGACTAGTATGGGTTGGGAAATGCTTTTCTATCACACAAGATGGAGTGGAGGAAAGGGAATATAATCATGCCCTGAAACAAAAAAATTAGGGTTATAGCTAGGATATTGTCATATACGTACATGTATTACAAAATGTCTATCATGAATTGTTCAAGGTATATGCGTTTAATATAGATGAAATATGAATAACACTCAATCTCTTTTTTGAGAGTAAATGGCTTAAGTACATACCTTCTAGCATTCTATCTGATGATATCTCAGAAGTGATTTTGATGAGACATGCAGTTGCTGATAGTGTAAATATGACATTGATGTATAAGATTCATGGAAAATGGAGACAAGTTTTGTACATGCCCTTGATGTTTTTTCAGAGGCTGCTTTCAATATTAGGACACTGATCTATACCAAGAGTTATTTTTTAAAATATAAAATATTTTAACATTCAATTAATATTTTAAGTTAATTAAATGTTACTTAATGTTTCATATTTTCCAAGCATGAAATAGTCATCATACAATAGACTTTCCTGTCAGTTCTTCTGTGATAAAACGAAAGTTTAGAGAGGTTATGACTTGCCCGGGTCACTCTATAGCTCACCTCAACACTCCTTATCCATAGGACCTGGTGGCATGTTTCCTAGTCCCCCTTTCTCTTCCTACCATAGGAAAATAACAGATCTCAGCTCCTATCTCATTCTAGCTAAAATGATTTGCTTTAGCTCTGCTTTCACACATACAGGTTGCCAGAGCTATATTGGAAGCTAGAGACCATCTATACAACCCATTCTTCCTGTAGAAGAAATCAAGGCCAGAGCGATGATGTGACATCCTCAGTTACAGTGCTACTGAGTGGCAAAGCCAGAAGTAGGTCCCAGATCTCCTAGCTCTTAGACTTGGGCTAGAGCCAATATAACATACTGCCTTTCTTCTATCAGTGAACAGAATGAAAGGCCCCATTTGGCAGGGACATGGTCCTGGCATTTCACCAATACAGGGAATCAGAGCTGGGATTGTTGAGGAAATTCCCTCTGCCAATGTAGATACCTACTCTATAATTTGGAGTCTTAGATGCCTGGGGCCCTGAGGGGTAAGGTGGCTGCCCAGTATGTGTTAACATGGCCAATATGTGTTAGAAACAGGACCTGAACACAGCTCTCCCTGCCTCTAGAGGCCAGTTCTCTGTTTTCTATGATACAACTGCTTCTCTAAGCATCTCTATGTGACATAGTAAGCAAATAAAGTTGAGGTTTTCTGCCCACTACAAACAGGATATTTTTATGCCTTGTGAAAATCATAATGAAAAGAAAGAAATCTGAACTTGGGAATCACATAGTTCCTGAAGTGGATGTCTTGGGGTGCTGATCGGGGAAGACTGAAGGGGAGAAGATTAACATATCTCTGTATCTCACACACAACAACATCCATGTAAGGCATCTTGACTCTGTCCTGCATGCAGGGCCTCTGCTTGAGTCAACCAGTCGGTCAATTTCTTCATGAACTTTGGCTATATTGAGATGAATGACAATGAATAGCTCAGACGGTTGCAAAGTCTAATGAGCATGTTTATTGATTAGTCAGTCAACAGCATTTATTAAGTGCCTACTGTGTACCAGGCATTGTTTTAAGTGCTGTCAGCATAAAGAAAGGAAGAAGATAGTTTGTACTGTGATAGAGCTCAGTCTAATGAAGAAAATAAAATGCAAACAACTATGTACAAACAAGATACAGAGCATCTCAAACGTCTTAATGCAGTCTTAAACTTAATTAGGTTTCCAAAGCCATACAGAGGATTTCCTATTTGATCCTGGAGGTAAAAATGGAGTCACTCATCTTTATTGAATTGAGGCATTATTACCTGTGCTTTAGGAAGACTAATTTGGTAGCTGATTGGAGGATGGGTCTCAGTGAGGAGAGATTTGAGGCAGGGACACCAACTGGCAGGCTCTTACAATAGCCTGGGAATGAGGTGAAAGGGGCCCATTTTGAGGTAGTAGCAATGTTAGGGGAGAGAAGGGTAAGATACACGAGATGTTAGGAAGCACTTTGTGGAATTGGCATAGCAGGCACTGAACTGGTGTTAATATAGAATAAAAACAACAACTAACATTTATATACTGCTTACTACATGCCAGGCACCATGCTAAATGCTTTACTACTGTTGTCTTGATTGAGCCTCATGACAACCCAGCAGGGTAGGTGCTATTATGTCATGACTGAGTGAGGTGATCACTCCTAGCCCTCAAGTCATCTGCTCCTTAACTAGTTTGGTCAGGGCCTCACCAAAATGGAACCATATCTTCTGTTTATTCTATAAATTGAACCCAGTTTGAGTTAGACCCTGCCCCACAGAGTACAAGCCTTGTTCTTACTCTCTTCATTAAAGTCTGAGGTGACCTGGTCTACCAAGGAGAGAACAAGTCAGTGAAAACTTGATTAAGATGGCTTAAATTTTTTCTAGTTAAGATTACCAGCAACTCACATTCCTTAAGAATTAGAAAGGGGCATAATCAGTCACATCTGAGGGTCAGTTCACTGCCTTCCTCCCTCCCACAGATTGGGAGGGAGGAACTCTTAGGGCAGTTAGGTGGTGCAGCAGACAAAAGTTCTGGGCCTGGGTGAGGAAGATTCCTCTTTCTAAGTTCAAATCTGGCTTCAGATATTTACTAGCTGTGTGAGCCTGGGCAAATCACTTAGCCCTTGTTGCCTCAGTTTCCCTCATCTATAAAATGAACTGGAGAAGGAAATGGCAAACCAATCCAGTACTCTGCCAAGAAAAACCCAAATGGGAACAAGAACAGTCAGGCAGAATTGAAAAAAAAAAAGCACGACTGAACAATAACAAGGAGAACTCTTAGCCAACCTCCTCACATTAAAATGTCCACCAAGTGGGATTGTCAGGGAAGGTCCCAATGATGCACTGTCAGTCCAGCCAGAAGGAAGACATAACTAGATATAAAAGACCCTACTGCTCTCACTCAGGGTCTTTGGCACAAATTTAGGTAGCCATTGATCTGTCCTTTATTAATAGGTCACATGACCCTATTAACAAATGATATTATGCTCAGAGAAATGACCTCATTTTATTTATTGGTTAAATTTCCCCTGAGACCATAAGCATGTGTTAAGCAGCTGCTACATTTAAAGCATTGTCCCAGGTGAAGTGTTGCTGCTCACAGTAAGCAGTCAGCACCAAGGCCAGGGCTCAACATGTTCTCTCTCTTCCATCTTGATGTCTTCTCAATTGTGTGGATCACAGTAAATTGTTTCTCTTACCTTGTACCTCTGGGTATTTCATGAGCAGTAAAAACCCATATCTCAGAGTGCTGGCTGTTGTTTCTGTACCAGCAACAAATAAATTAGATCCAGTGGCCATCAATTTTTCATAGCTGAATTCTGACTGTGCATTCATTTTCTCCTGAAGACAACATTAATAAATGCATCAAAGAAGAAGCAGACATGTGAAGTCCCAAAGATCTCCCATTTTGGGGCCCCTTTACATGGAATATGACTCAATGAGACCTTTATGAACATTTTTAGATGATGAGCTATATAGATATAATGATTTCAACTACAGAAGACATGATGATTGTGTGGAGTGAATGGATTGAACCTGTATCCTGTGAGCTTAAGGGAACCATCCTCTCTCCCCTTCCAATATTTAACCTTAGAGGTTGCAGAAAGAAATGGAACCTGCAGGTTGTAAAAATAAAGACTTGTTCTCAGTCTATATTCTATTCTGATTCTATTTCAAAAGGAGGCCTCCATTGTCTTAGATTTCAGTCCTACCTTGGGAAGCTAGGTGGCACAGTGGATAGAGTGCCAGGCCTGGAGTCAGGAAGACTTATCTTCATCGGCTCAAATCTGGCTTCAGATATTTTCTAGCTGTGTGATCTTGAGTAACTTAATCCTGTTTGCCTCAGTTCCTCATCTGTAAAATGAAGTGGAGAATGGAATGGCAAACCACTCCAGTATCTTTGCCAAGAAAACCCCAAATGAGGTCAAGAAGAGTTGGACATAACTGAAAAATGACTCAACAACAACATATTCTATTCTGATTCTATCTGAAAGAGAGGTCTCCATTGTCTTAGACTTTGGTCCCACCTAGACCTTCTAATTAACTAGGTTAACTAAAATTAAGTAGACCTATGATCCCATCTAGACATTCTGAGATTATAGAGACCCCTCCTCCCTGCCCTACCTAGATGGTCTGATGAAATTAACTACACTTCTCACTCCAACTAGACATTCTGAGATTATGCATGCCATGTATATATATAAAATTTATATGCATATGCATATGTATATCCCCATCTCTCTCTATCTATATATCTATCTATCCTTTATTAGTAACTATAGCTTTTGTCTTTCAATATTAGTCTGTTGGCTGTCATTTCTCTTCATTTAATCTGCAGAAGACCCAACCTGCAAACCCTACAGATAATTGAAAAGACAGTAGGAATGGGATTTTATATGTGAATGATCACCACTAAGTAAAGAAGTATGAAGAGGTGATTTCAACTACTTGCTATCTTTAACAATGTCAGAGTGAGTAGTTGTCATCCCCTGGCTTTTGAGTAAAGGCATGGAAGATTGTGTCCTGCATTCATTCCCTTCATTTCCTCATCTACCAGACCAGCAGATAAATGAACAATTCCCAAATGGATCACACAGATTGCGGGGACCATTTCCCCATACAGAATAGGGAGAATTAATAAATAAATAAAATAATACTATTGATTCAGTAGGAGCTACAAGGATTAGGAGGAGGGGCAATGGTCTATTCATTTAAGGGTATGAGACTCCCTCTCATTCCTAAATTCCCTTTTTTCTTGGTTGTTTCCAGTATCAAGAGGCACTGTTTCACCCTTGGGGAGAGGACCTGAGGAGTCAACCTAATTGCAAGTTATATGACCTAACTTAACAGCAAGTATCAGACAGGATTTCTGAAATCTTGCTTTTGACTTTACTTCCTGTCTCTTCTCTCTGCCTGTGGACAAGAATAGTTACCTCTAGGAACTGCTTCTGCCTTTTCTTTCCCTTCCAGGGGTCCAGTATAGGTTTGCCTTTGCCTCATGCCCTCCCAGGTGGCCAGGAGAGAGCAGAGCCCTGGCTTTATTTGTTGCCTTGGTTATGCTCCAATCTAAAGCTAGGGTGAGTAGTGGAAGCCTGACTTTTCTCTCTAGAAGTTGAGAAGTTCTCATGACCTCATGTCCATGTCCCGTTGGGACCAGGACAGGTATTGACTGTGCTCTACTCTACTTTATGGTATGACAGGTGGTTCTGTTCTCTCTCAAGAGAGCAAAAACATTTAAATTGTTCAGTCCAAAGGCCTGTTCTCAGTCCTCATTGTATTTGGCCTCTCTGCAGATATCCACATCTTGGACCACCCCTACTTTTTGGATATTTTCTTCTGTATGTATATGTTTAACATTACATACATACAGACCTACACACATATATTTTATATATGTGTGTGTATCTCTCTATATTTATCTCTCCATCTCTCCATCTATATCTATCTTTATCTATCCATCTCTATCTCTCTATCCATACATCCATCTATCTATTTCTATCTCTATCTATGCATACATACATACATACACACATACACACATACATATGGAGAAAAGTCCATCCAAGGAGTAGGAGCATGTAGATGATTTGTCAAAAATGCTTTTGACATCTAAGATGGCAGACAAATTATTGCTAACGAAATGTGGTCATTATATTTTTTTTTTTTAGGGAATTGGGGTTAAGTGACTTGCCCAGGGTCACACAGCTAGTAAGTGTCAAGTGTTTGGTCTGAGGTCACATTTGAACTCAGGTCCTTCTGACTTCAGGGCCGGTGCTCTCTCCACTGTGCAAATATGGTCATTATTAATTGTGATTGATGCATGAGAGTTTTAAATTTCATTTCTTACGGTGATGTGATTTTTTTTCTTCTTTAGATATAAACTGAGGTCTCTTGTATAATCAATATATACAATACATTACTGCCCTTTTTAAAGGAGCTTAAGCATAATTTTTAGAGAAGTAAGCCTATTGGATTTTTTCTTCTTCCAACCAGATCTTTGATTTATATGATCCTGTATGTTTGGCAGGGAGAAAATTTCCAACTATAGCATTTTCCTAGGTGAGGGCTGGGTAGAGAATCCAAGTTACAATGATCTACCTTATGAAGGGGCTTTACAAGAACACAAGAACACAAAATTAGGATTTGCGCTTATGTATATAAATAGTATAACCTAATGTATTTAATGGAAAAAAAAGTGTGTACAACTGTATATTTACAACTATGCCATGATCAATATGCAGAAAATTAGGGAGAAGAAAAGGTCAAAACTACTAGGGAAGGTTAAGTTTCGGGATTATCTGCAGAATTCATTTACCTTCATCTCTTTACATCACTGGCATAGAGTATTTGGAGTTATGGTTTTCTCTAATAACGATACCTAATATTTATTTATATATATATATATTTATATAGTTCCTATATTTATGTATAGTTCCTATAAGGTTGGGAAAATACTTTACCTATATTATCTCATTTCATTTATATAGTTCCTATAAGGTTAGGAAAATACCTATATTATCTCATTTTGTTTTCATAACCCTGCTAATTAGGTATTATCTCCATTTTATAATGGAGGAAACTGAGGCTCAAAGATGTTAGTTGTTTTGCTCAGTGTCACCTAGCAAGGATGTGTGTGTGTGTGTGTGTGTGTGTGTGTGTGTTTATACATATATATATAAGTATCCTATAGGCTACCTCATACCAAGAGAGGGAAGCTAGTCAGCACTCCCAGAGAGGGTTGGTGGACAGACTATCTGGTGTCTTAGAGTTTTGAGATGCAGGGATCCTGTGGCTCTCTCCTCATCCACACACCTTGATCCACATTCCCTTTTGGGGTTTTAGGATCACCTCCATTTGGAATGGTACTATATTCACGTGATTATAGAAACAGAGCTGAAAGGGACCCTACGGGTCATTGGAGGCTGTGTGACTGATCCAAGTTCAGTTTCCTTTACATAGCACCCTCATCTGCAACTCATATAAATTAGGAGGAAACAGACACTCTTTCCTGGGGTGAAGTAAGCTCATGTAGTTTCTCCACTCTTATGCACTCTCTATTCTTCTCCACAATGGTATGCGTGTTGTAGATTTGGCTGTGACTACACTTCTCAGAGAGCTGATATCTCCCCTAGCCCACAATTCAAACAGGAATTCAGTGACCAGTCACATTACCACAAGGCAACCTTGACCTTACCTGGATCCATAGTGTGTTTATGAGCCTAAAATTTTCATTTAACATTCCCATCAGGTGCAGAAATTTCTCATCATCATAGTTGAAGCAATAGTTAAATAGGATAGAGCAGATTATGTTGCAGGGAGCACAGCTGGGGATGAAGGTGGGGTGGAAGGCCTGAGCTAAAGGGCAGGGAAGCCACCAAAGGAAAAACAGCCTTAATGTCAGGGTTCCTAGTCACCTGGCACTAAGAGGGCAGGGACCCAACTTCTCTCTACCTCAGTTTTGATTACTGGTTACAGATTTTTTTAAGATTGGCCTGATATTTTCCCCTGGACTGCTTTCTTTAGTCCTAATTCTGACATCAGTATTAGATAATAACTGCTATTCCTGATATTCTATCACCTATATCTCCAACCTCAATGTGCCTTTGTACAGGCTGGCCTCCATGTCTGGAATTTCCTTCCTCTTTTACTGTCTCTTGTAATCTCTTCAAGGTTCATCTTTGATGTCAACTTCTATACAAAAGCTTTTGAGATTGTACCAGCTGTTAACATCTCACTCTCATCTTGAAATTACTTTGTATTTCCTTATTACACAGATACATAAACAAATAAATGTGTGTATGCATGTATGTATATGTATATATGAATATGTGTATGTGTATATATGTTTATATATTGTATTTATATGAAACACGTGTATTTATTCACATGTACTATTTACTTAGTTCTGCATGTGTTCTATTGTTCCAGTATATTGTAAGCTCTTTGAAGGTAAGGTTGTCTTATGACGGGATGTTGTAACGTCAACATCTGTCTTGCATTGCCTTGCACTACTACATTATAAAATGTTTGTTGAATTGAGTAATTGCATGGATGAATAATGCCAGTCAGTGGAGTCAGGCAGACAATGAAATCCTCACACCACAGAGGAGATTTGAAATTGGGGATGGTGAAGTGGGCAGGCACCATATGCCCAGAAGATGAACAGTGTAGACTAACCCCTTGTGTTTTGGAGCTCCTCCACCAGACACTGGGCTTCCTCCTGGACTCTCTCCTCAAGAGTTCTCTTCCCCATCCCGAAGTTCTTCATGGTCATGAGAGAGAAATGGCAAATCTGCTTCCACTTGTCACCATTGCTTGAAAGGCTGCCTGGGGAAAGAATCAGCAGAGGAGGCATGATGTCATTTCATGGTGTGACCTGCAGGATGAGGAGCTCAAAGGAAGGCAAAATCCAGGTGCTTGGAGAGTTTTTGTGGATGGGAAAGAGTGGAGGATGGGACAGGTGGAAGGGAATCTGTGATAGCTGGGCAATTGTCTCATCAGGCAGCAAGATAATGTAGTGGGCAAAATGCTGGAATTGAGCCAGGTAGCCCTGAATTCAAATACTGCCTCAGATACTTCCTAGCTGTACAACCCTGGGCAAATTGTTAACCTCTCAAACCCTCAGTTTCCTTATCCACAAGGGGGGGATGATAACATCCATATACCTACTCATTTGAGCTGTGGGGCTCAAATGAAATAATGTACATAGAACTCTTTGAAGTAGTATATAAATATCAGTTATTTT